GAATCGGGTTCCCAGTTTAAGAGTTAGAGCCAAATTTCACTCTAGACAAACTAGTTTCTTAAGAAACTTAGAATTCGAGGTGTTGACGCCCCAAAATCACCAAATGGCGTCAGAGTAGCATGAAACTTGGCACACACGACCGTCTAGGCACGAGAGACTTGTGGGAGAAGGGACTCGAATCGGATTCCCGGTTTGGGAGTTAGAGTCGGATTTCACTCTAGATAAACTAGTTGAAACTTATAATTCGAGGTGTTGACGCCCCAAAATCATCAAACGGCGTCAGAGTAGCATGAAACTTGGCACACACGACAGCCTAGGCATGAGAGACTTGTGGGAGAAGACGAGACTCGAATCGGATTACTGGTTTGGGAGTTAGAGCCGGATTTCACTCTAGACAAACTAGTTAAAACTTATAATTCGAGGTGTTGACACCCCAAAATCACCAAACGGCGTCGGAGTAGCAAGAAACTTGGCAAACACGACCGCTTAGGCACGAGAGACTTGTAAGAGAAGATGGGACTCGAATCGGATTTCCGATTTGAGAGTTAGAGCCGGATTTCACTCAAGACAAACTAGTTGAAACTTATAATTCGAGGTGTTGATGCCCCAAAATCACCAAAAAGTGTTGGAGTAGCACGAAACTTGGCACACACGACCGCCTAGGCATGAGAGACTTATGGGAGAAGACGGGACTCGAATCGGGTTCCCGGTTTGAGAGTTAGAGCCGAATTTCACTCTAGACAAACTAATTTCTTAAGAAAATTAGAATCGAGGTGTTGACGCCCCAAATCACCAAACGACATCGGAGTAGCACAAAACTTGGCACACACGACTGCCTAGGCACGAGAGACTTGTGAGAGATGACGGGACTCGAATAGGGTTCCCAGTTTGGGAGTTAAAGCTAGATTTCACTCTAGACAAAGTAGTTTCTTAAGAAACTTAGAATTTGAGGTGTTGACGTCCCAAAATCACGAAACAGTGTCGGAGTAGCACAAAACTTGGCACACACGACCGCCTAGGCATGAGAGACTTGTGGGAGAAGACGGGACTCGAATCGGATTCTCGGTTTGGCAGTTAGAGCCGGATTTCAGTTTAGGCAAATTAGTTTCTTAAGAAACTTAGAATTCAAGGTGTTAACGCCCCAAAATCACCAAACAGTGTCGGAGTAGCACGAAACTTAGCACACACGACTGCCTAGGCAAGAGAGACTTGTGAGAGAAAATGGGGCTCGAATTGGATTCCCGGTTTGGGAGTTAGAGCCGAATTTCACTTTAAACAAATTAGTTTCTTAAGAAACTTAGAATTCGAGGTGTTAACGCTCCAAAATCACCAAACGGCGTTGGAGTAGCATGAAACTTGACACACATGACCGCCTAGGCACGAGAGACTTGTGGGAGAAGACGGGACTCGAATCGGATTCCTAATTTGGGAGTTAGAGTCGGATTTCACTGTAGACAAATTAGTTTCTTAAGAAACTTAGAATTCGAGGTGTTGACATCCTAAAATCACCAAATGGCGCCGGAGTAGCACAAAACTTAACACGCACAACTGCCTAGGCACGAGAGCCTTGTGGGAGAAGACAGGACTCAATCGAGTTCCTAGTTTGGGAGTTAGAGCCGAATTTCATACTAGGCAAATTAGTTCCTTAAGAAACTTAGAATTCGAGGTGTTGACACTCCGAAATCACCAAACGGCGTCGGATTAGCACGAAACTTGGCACACACGACCGCCTAAGCATGATAGACTTGTAGGAGAAGACGAGACTTGAATCGCGTTCTTGGTTTGGGAGTTAGATTCGGATTTCGGTCTAGGTAAAATTATTTACTTAATTATCTTTATAATTGTATAGTAGTTAAATTTTTATATATTTTTGTAATTAACATATCAACACATAATTATATTATCACTAATTATTTTTATTTTTTGTTTTCAAATATTTCCCTAGTAGGAGTTTGCTTCCTGTGGAATGCATGCCTGTGAAAAATGCGACTAACTTTTGTTTTTGTTACCCACGGAGAATGATGAGGAAAACTTTTAATTTTAGTTTATGTTATTTTGAATTATGAACAATTTTATGTATTTAAACATTATATATGTATTATGGAATATTATGTAGCGGGGTAATTTTGTTGATGTGTAATTATGGATGCAAAAATATTTTTATTATGGAGAAATTGTTATTTCTATACAGGAATTTTTATATTATTATGCAATTATTGGTTTTTTTTTTCAATTGTTTTTTATTTAATACAGGTAGTTTAATATTTTTAATAATTATATTGTAGTTTTTTTTTTTTGCCATGGCACCACACCGTCGCAAAAAAGAAAAAGATAATTTTAACATTTTTAATAATAATAATAATTATTATTATTATTATTTTGCGACAGCACCACACTGTCACAAAAAAAAGAAGGTAATTTTAATATATTTTTTTAATTAATTTTATTGCTTTTTTTTTTTTGTGCGACGGCACCACACTGTCGCAAAAAAAAACACAATTCACGACAGCATTACTTGCGGTCGCAAATAAGACTTTTAGCGACAGCAAAACAGTGTCGTCGCAAAAAGTCTCACTTTTTTTCATATATAGGCGACAGTAAAATGTTGTTGCAAAAAGTAGCAATTGCCATCGCAAGAAAAAGGCAACGTCGCTAAAAAAAATTTCAACGCCCTCTGTTGTGACCCCTCTTTTGTCACCTCTAAAAGTCATTTGTCGTCGCTAAAAGTTTTTTAAGACGGCATTAGCAGTATTAGCGACGGCATTTTGCCGTCACAAAAACTTGAATTTTTTGTAGTGACATGACACTGCAATTCTTAAAAAAACTAAATAAAAACAAAAATTTAATAAATATTCAAAAAAAAAAAAAACTTTTAAAAAATTGTTGATAAACTATATCACGGGATATGCATTTTTCTTTCATTTGCCAAAAGGGATAACCTTTTCTGTCTCCTTTGATATTGCACTACTACAAAAACAAATAAAAATCATACTTTTTTTGTGTGATGCATGTTATTTAATCACACCTTTTAAGTTTTATTAAAATGTGATCTTTGGAAGTGTGATTAAAATGAGTCATTTTTAATCACATTTTAAGTGTGATTAATAACATTTAGATCACACTTTTTAAGTGTGATTAATAACATTTAGATCACATCTTTTAAGTGTGATTAATATCTAATAAAACTTGTGATAATAAATATTTAGATCACAGATTTTAAGTGTAATTAATATCTAATAAAACCTGTGATTAATATTGATGTGAAGAGTAATCAATATTATTTTAGCATGCGCATTTGAATAATGCAATACACACTGTATATTATATTTTGAATCACAATCATATATTGAATGGAATAACGTCATATATTTCATAAATGAAAGTTAAATATGTTTAAAAGTAGATACAAATGAATTAAATAAAAAGTTTTAAACTGTGCTTACATATATTAAAAAATAAAAAAAAAACTTGAAAAACTAAGTTCATGAATTCTTTGACCATATTTTGCACCTCTCCAAGAAATTTCTGACCTGAAAAATAAAAACACAAATTAATTCAGAAACAGCTAGAAGCATATGAATAAACTTACTATTTTTGTAGAGACTGTTATTGTCTTACAAAAGACAAAATCCGACTGATCACATCCCTTCAAATGTCTTAACATTAAATACTTCTAGCATGACTTGAAGCATATAAAAACAAAATGTCACTTTACTCACAGAAATTGCAAGTTCAACAGAAATTTTATTATAACCAACAACTTAGTTATAGTAAAATTTGGACTTAATTGTTTAAGAAAATAATTTACAAACAGAGAACACCTCACACTTTTCTTCAAAGAGTTTCACTACCTAGTCACACAAAAAAAAAAAAAAAAAAAAAAAATACAGTGTCCAAGAATGAGCCTCTATGTAAAATTAAAGACCTATATTTGATTAGTTCATTGTATTATGTTTATTTGTTTTTAGTGTCTAAAAATGGTGTTTATTAAATTCATAATTTTAACATGAGTTCAACAGGACCCTGCGCAACTTTTAACTAATTTTCAAGAAATTTCTTTTTAAGTAAAGGACTAAAAATAAGAATAAAAATAAAAGGGGGTCCTCTTCCCATGAGCGGCCTGCAAGTTCGAATCATGTCCCGCCTAATCACAAAATAAGATTAATATTCTTGTGATGCATAAATCTTAAAAAATTATAGGAAATCATTTGAGGCAAGATAATGATTTCATTATTCAGTAATTCAAAGATGTGTAATTGGCACATAAAACCAAGTAGGTGGTAGTCACATTGACAGAATTTGGTGAAGCATGAGCTCTGTGCAGCTTTTAAGGTAAGCAGGCCTCCATCATCGTGACCAACAGGTATAACTGAAGAAAAGCCCATCTCCACACAGAAAAAAAGAAGCAGTTCCACCTAGAAACACCAACTACCAACTCATCAAAAATAAAATTAACCTGCTAAAAAGAAAACATTATGAGAGAAATGCACATACGCAGATATGCCAGGAAGAAACCAAAGTGGGTTCCCATATGATGCGCATGACCCTTATTCCTAAGATCCTTTTCAACTTCAGTTACGGTCCAAGTTGAATATACAAGTTTATTTAGAAACTTACAGATATATCTATCACTCACTTCCCTATTCCTCTACACCTATGAATCTATGATACCTAAATGAGCACGAAACACCAAAATTGCATCTGTTTCAAGCATTAGAGCACCCACAGATCTAATCAGGATAAAGAAGAGAAAGCACCTGTGAAGGGCTTGAACTAAATCTTTTAGCAGCCACAAGAAGAGCATTTGGCAGAGCATCCTCCCAGAAAATGAGGAGAGAACAACAAAGGAGAGCAAAGGAGAGATATACCTGGATGTCGGAGGGAGAACCAGAAAGGCCCTGCCCCAATACCAATTGTAGGGATTTGAAGAGCAGATGTTACAGCAGCAACAGCAACAACAGGTGCAATCACACATTCCAAGAGAGCCTAGTATTCTCCAAATTTATAAATAATATACATATATATAGAGAGAGAGAGAGAGAAAGAGAGAGAACAAGCAAAACAAATAATCATCAATTGAAATATACTAAGGATGAAAAAATAAAAAGAAGATTTTTAGGTCATGCCCAAGAGTGATGACAAATGCTATTGGTTCCTAGCGTTGTCGCAAAGGTTTGTGTCTCTTTACAAAAAGGTGGCAGAACGGTTGCCTATTATTACTACCTCTCCCAAACCCTACTGTAAGCAAGAGCCTTGGACATTGAGTACTATCTTTTTTTAAATAAAAGGTCATACGATTACAAGATATTTCAAATCAAAACCAGTCCCACATAGTAACTACTAGTTTTAAAATTAAATGGATAAAAATTGATGGATAGATTTGATATTGATTCTGTCAGAGTAGAGCATGCTCATTGCTGTAACAACTGTCATCCTCACACTTTACCTACCTTTGCCTCTAAGGTGAAGGATTCCCTCGGCACTTCACAATCTATCAAGTGATCCTTTACTACAGAGATCCTCGAGGATTACAAGCTTGGTGTGTACCTTGAAGAAGCTAAGTCAAAGCTTCAACTTGTCCACAAATGTTGATGTGGAGCTGCATATGTCTGTAAATGTGTCACAACCCAAACCCTACCCTAGACAAATTAAGGCGTGATCAGTTGATAGCTACGACTCTATGAGCTACCTAGGACCAAGGCATACCTAATCAAGTGAAAGGTGCCTTTGGAAATATATGAAATTCATTTAGCAGAAGTATACTGATATAAAACGTGTACAATCCCAAATTCCTAATACAATAAACCCATCAAAGCAATTGCTTAACTCATGTGAAATGAACTATCATACATTAAATTTACCAACTTATGGCACAAATACAAATGATAACATCCATAAATTAAGAAGTACAAATCAAAAGAGACTACATGTCTCAATATATACAATGCTCCAAAACAAAACAAAAAGTTCCAAGCCAAGTCTAAGAGCAGGCACTAGTATTCACACAATATGTATACACAAGCCCACTGTTCAAACCTCATCACCTATATACATATATGAGGAATAGGGTGAGCTAAAACCCAGCAAGTAATAGCATACCAAGAGCCTGTGAACAGAGGCATGGATATGGCCGGTTGGTGCAAACACAGCATTTGCAAGTGTAGGTCTAATTTTTTGGTGTTTTTGGTGGTTTTGGCTGGTTTAATAAATGATGATGAAAATGGGCTAAATTTGAAAATGGTTTAGAGCAGTAAGTTGATATGGAATTTGTAGTTAACAATTTTTGCGGTATTTTTGGAATATCAAAAAGGCATGACAAAATTTTTCTTTCTGAGTTGTGTGCTTTTAATATAGAATAGATGTGTCCCCTAGTTACCTGATCATACCTCCTCAAACTACTTTAAAAACAAACCAATAGCAGATAACAACACACACCTCATCCTTGAGCCCCCCATTGTTGTTGCCATGCTCTGGAGTCTTCAAGGCAGGATTTTCCTCATCCTTACATGGGAATCCATCTTTATCTTCAATTTAACAATAAACAAAATTAAAATAAAAATAAATGCTAGTTAGAATTCAGGAAATAAATGACTATTTCGTATACATATAACATAACATATAAACACATAAAAATCAAAAATTTCTCCCCAAATGGTGAAATTATCTATTTAAAGCTGAAAAAACTCAATATATACTACAATTCTTTGGAATGAAACAAGATCTGAGAGAATCAAATTAGATACATTGAATCAACATACAATAAAAACAAATTACCATCAGCGAGTGGTAGAGAAGATAGAGGATTCCGAGATACCACAGGTTCCTGATCTAGAAACAGAAAAACGAACAACAAAACTCACAATTCAAAACAAGAAAACGGAGAATTTAACACACATGCACACAAAGAGAGAGAGAGAGAGAGAGAGAGGAGTACTCTGAGCTTTGAAGGGAGTGGTTCTAAGGCAAGATGAGTCTGGGGGTGGCGATGATCGTCTCTGATTCGAAAGCAGCCAAAGAAACAACCCATCGCTCTGACAAATTCAAAATTGACAAAAGCTGCCCAAAATTGGGTGGTAACCACATGAAATTGTGATAATTAATTTTATATAGTGGCAAAAGCTACCCAAAAATAATTTGATGAGGCTGGCCAGACTTAGTTTGAACTTACTTGGGGAACCCAAATGGGTGAGAATATCTGAACAAAATGGCATACTACATAAGGTTCATTGGCATAACTTTATCCAAAGTGATGTTTAGATCATTCACACCCATTGGAGTATAATCTACCACAAATGACAACATTCAGAGGGTCATTTGGGAAATGGAGAGGTAAAGAAGTAGGCTCCTTGGAGGATAGCTGCATTGCTTAGGTCGCTCAACTAACTAATTAGGAAACTACAACTTACCTTGATCCTCAATTTTGTTATATTATTTTCACAGTAGCTACTTTATTTAAAAAGATAAATCTTAAGTATCATCCTACCTACAGCCGCTAAGGACCCTTAAAAACAAACATTATTCTGTGTGGAAGGCCACTACTTGTGACGTGCAAACCATTTAGCCCTTTTTCTTTTCTTTTCTTTTTTTTTTTTAAAGATCTCTAACCAAGCTTACATTAATACCAAGCTTTTTAATGGCTAAAATGCATGACATATGCTCACCCATGATATTAACTACTTTCACAACAACTAGCCCTCCCTCCCTCTCTCACAAATTATTGGCATGATTATTTTACGAATAATTTGTATAGAATTATGACTTCTTGTGTCCCCTTCTTTCTAATCAAAACACCACCATTATTTTCATAATTTTAAAAATGTTATTAACAATTTAACGCATCATTTCTGAATGTGTATTTTGTATAAATTTTCTATTGACAAATTATTTTCCCTATTTACATGTTTGTGTGCCTAAGTACTCTTTCCTTGTGAGGAAAAAAAATCGAAAACAAAAAGACAACCAAAAAAACCTTATCACAATTTATAAAACATTAATAAAACTATATATAATGACCTTGAGAATATGACAATATTGATGGATATATCACAAAGTATGAATATATTTATAGACACATTAGAAAAATTGTTATTTTAAACCATGTTCATACTCTATCAACATGCTTTGTGCAGCAAAAGTGTGTAGACTAAAAAGCTGCTGCAAAGCATCAGCTTATCACAAGCACTACTGTCACGCCCTCGAAAATAACCCATTATATATATATCATTGACATGCACTATTTAAAGAAAACACTTTATTAATTCATCCATCAGAGTATTACCAAATAAAACATTACATGAAACATTAAATTAAATGCCCTACAGGCTTACATCTTTCCAAGCCAACACTTGGACACAAAAGTATGAGTTCTAACTCAAATACAAATAAAGCCCTAGGCTTGAACGTTTATCAAATAAAAACAAATAACTAAAGATAGTCTTCAAAGTCCAAATCCTTCCAAGCTAAGTCCTTGGAGGTAGCTTATCACCTGGACCTGAAAATGATGTTCCCATAAAGGGTGAGCCACAGCCCAGCAGAAATATACTAAACCAAAGCATCAGCTTATCACAAGCACTACTCTGAATCTTATACAAGTAATTATGTATAGATTATTTATTAAAAAATTAAATTAATTCAATAATCATAATTTCATAATTTTATTATATTTAATTTTAAAGATGAACAAATTTTAAATCCTCCTTACCATATATATGCACCATGCCAAGGTCAACTTAACTGTTGGAGTGGAATATATAGATTTTTACCCAAGGTAGGTACTTATTTCACTTGAATTGTCTACTATGGAAATGCAAGAACATAAATTGCATTTTGCACTGTAAGTTGGATAATCATAATAACCTCAACACATCAAATGGTTTTAAACTCAAATTGTTCACATGCACAGAGAGACACACACACACACAGAAAGAGAGCTCATATCATAAAACTAACTCGTATCCAAATCCAAATCAAGATATCCAACATTCTTGCAAATTTGATACCAAATCCAACAACTCCATATCAAAATTAAAAAAACCACCTTAAAATTCCAAAACAGAGTAAGAAAGAAAGAAACCAAAAATTGAAGTCTCGATTAACAAGGCATGCACAAGCCCGTTGACATGCTAAGGTACATGAAAACAGATTATACATCTGTATAAGACTACACTGATGACTTAAAAACACCAGACTCCGCTGCTGGCCATTTTCAAAATCAATTCACCCCACTAAACCACCAAAAACTCATATAAAAATACGTAAGAAAAGCAAATTCCACAGGAAAGTATATAAATATATAAAAATGAATTATATCATACCTTTTAAGGTAGTTATGGAAGAAGGAGAGAGAAAGATCAGAGAGGATTGAGGGATTGGACTTGCAATCATCGATGAATTGCTTCAACTTGTTCAAGTTAGTGATCAGAGAGGAGATTGTAGAGAGGTCGAATCATTCGATACAGAGGAGCGTGTAGAGATCATATCAGTTAGGGTTTGAGATCAATTGATTGAGAATGCATTTGGCTTCGTAGTCTACATTCCCATGGCTCTCACCAAACCATAACTTCAAATAAAATGATGGATTCGAAGCTTTTAGGAAAAAATGATCGAGAGACAGAGAGAAAAATTGATCGATTGAGAGAGAAAGTGAATGACATACATTGTGAGGCCATGCGAAGTCACACGATCGATCAACGCGACGCTCGAAGAACATACCTCAAACAGACTAGAACAAAGAGAGCTCGAGAGGGTTTGGGGCAAAAACATGCATAGATAGAATGAGAGGGAGTCTGGAAGCGGTGAACTGGGCCTAAAATAATGTTTTTGAGTTTTTTTTGTTTTAGTTATTGTAAGTTTTTAAATATTTTAAATAATTTTTTTTAACTTTTTAAATTCAAATAATTTACCTATATTTAGAGGAAAAATATTTTTTAATTTTCTAAAAAAATTATAAAATTTAATACATTTTATATATATTATATTTTTAAAAAAAATATTTTACTTTTTAATTGTGTTCAAATTAGGCACGTCTAAAAAGTAAAAAATAAATAAATTATTAAAAAAAAGGAAAATATCAAATCAAGGTAATTTAAAAAGAAAAATAACTACAATTTAGTGAGAAACAATGTAAATATTAATCATTAAAATTATAAATTTTTTCATGAATATGTAATTATTTTCACAAAATCACGCTAGGTGCAATTACTCCTTAAAAGTTTGTGCAAAGAAGACACTAACTTTTTATAAATTATAAAATAATGTACAAATTATTTTTTACGTTGTCCTCAATTAGGAAAATTTAAGGTGAGAAGCTTGTCAGAGTAAAATTTTACTTTCATATAGAGTAAAATTTTACTTTTAGTTTCAGAATATAAAATTTTACTTTTATACAGAGTAAGATTTTACTTTTAGTTTCAGAATGTAAAATTTTACTTTTAGTTTCAGAATGTAAAATTTTACTTTTATACAGAGTAAAATTTTACTCTGAAATATATAGTGAAGATGGCATAATAGGAGAGCCAATAGATATGAGGGTAATATAGTAAAAAAAACAAGTTTTAAAATATTAGGGGATTTTAAAAGTACTTATATAATTCTTGTCCTTTTAAAAGATAAATTAGATAGTAAGGGGGCTATCACCAAATCCCCCCTAAAATAATGTTTTTGAGTTTTTTTTGTTTTAGTTATTGTAAGTTTTTAAATATTTTAAATAATTTTTTTAACTTTTTAAATTCAAATAATTTACCTATATTTAGAGGAAAAATATTTTTTAATTTTCTAAAAAAATTATAAAATTTAATACATTTCATATATATTATATTTTCTAAAAAAATATTTTACTTTTTAATTGTGTCCAAATTAGGCACGTCTAAAAAGTAAAAAATAAATAAATTATTAAAAAAAAGGAAAATATCAAATCAAGGTAATTTAAAAAGAAAAATAATTACAATTTAGTGAGAAACAATGTAAATATTAATCATTAATTATAAATTTTTTCATGAATATGTAATTGTTTTCACAAAATCACACTAAGTGCAATTACTCCTTAAAAGTTAGTGCAAAGAAGACACTAACTTTTTATAAATTATAAAATAATGTACAAATTATTTTTTACGTTGTCCTCAATTAGGAAAATTTAAGGTGAGAAGCTTGGTTAGAAATTGTTAGCTTTTTTAAATCAAAAAAATAATAATAATAATCGCATTTTAAATTTTTTTTAATAAAAGTTTTCACAACATGCTAATGCATGCCGTGTAAAGTTATAATATTTTATGACATGAAATTTATGTCGTTTTAAGTGCAAATATTTTACGACATATTTTTGTATGCCGTGAAAATATATTTTTTTTACGGCATGCTTTTGCATGCCATAAAAAAAATTTGAATTGAAAGGTATGTTGTTTTAAGTGTAATATTTTACGACATGAAAGGTATGTTGTTTTAAGTGTAAATATTTTACGACATATTTTTTAAGTCGTGAAAATATACATTTTTTACGGCATATTTTTATATGCCATAAATATATGAATTAACGACTTACATGGTATGTATGTCGTTATTGAAAAATCATTAACAACTTGTAAAAAAAAATGTCATAGAATGTACTAATTATGACATACATTTGATGTATGTCGTAAAGTTGAAGCCGTAAATAGTTAGTTTTGTTGTAGTGCGTCCTCTATCATTCATAGGTAAAACAAAGGCGCGGATTTGGAAATTGTATATTTTATATAAAAATCAAATTGGAATATTTTATACAATCACACCTATTTGGACTAGTGTGATTAAATATATATACATATATATATATAATTACACTTATTTAAAAAGTGTGATTAAAAAGTAGTAATGTATATATAATCACACTTTAATTAGAAGGTGTAATTAAAAAATATATAAATAATCACAATTCAATTAGAATGTGTGATTAAAAAATATATATAATCACACTTATTTAAAAAGTGTGATTAAAAAGTAGTATTGTATATATAATCACATTTTAATTAGAATGTGTGATTAGAAAATATATAAATAATCACACTTTAATTAGAATGTGTGATTAAAAAATATATATATATATATATAATCACACTTATGTAAAAAGTATGATTAAAAAGTAGTAGTGTATATATAATCACACTTTAATTAGAAGGTGTGATTAAAATATATATATATATATATATATATATATAATCACACTTAATTGAAAAGTGACATAAAAAATAAATATTATCACACTCAATCAAATTAAGTGTGATTAAAATATCAATCTAATCTTTTTTATCACACTTCCAATAAAATTGAGATATTTTTTTTTGTCAAAGTGTGATCTTTAACTGGTAGTGTTGCTTTATTTTTTTCCTTTGCCTTTGTCTATAAAAAATAAGTAGAATATAATTATAAATTATTTTTAAAATGATAAGAAAATGCATGTCTAGTGTTCAAGTTACTTTTAGGCTTACCTACAAATGCAAATAATATTAAGGTCACGTTTATCGTGGATAACAACATTTATATTTCTTTCTTGAAGCATAAAACTTTATACACATAAATAAGAAAATTAATAAACAGAGTTGATATTATGATTCCGTGTAAGTCTCCATCCACC